TTTCAGAACGGTCAAGCTATCCCCAAAACCATTGACCAATCCAGTTGGAAGGAGTCTTCCCGGAAGGAAGAATGTGATGCGGCCTCGTGGAGTTCTTCTATTGTCCTAAGCCACGGAGGATCTCCAGGCCTTGAACTCATGTCCGACGCCCGTTACGCTCCGATTTACTGTCAAAGTATCACGGACACCTACAAATACGGAGCGTGTCCCAGCGGATTTCTCGGATACGATCGGAAGAGTACCGGACAAAAATGGTGTCATAAATTCGTGACGGATAAGAAAACTTATTGGCAGGCACAGGCTGATTGTGAAGCGATGGGAGCCTATGTAACTGGGTACACTGAACCTGCCGAGCTGGATTTTTTGGATGGTAAAATCCTGTCGAGATCTTAAAGGCGCAAGCACATCAGGGGTGGGCACTTGTTTGAGGGGTCAAGCAATTTATTTGACCAAATAATGCTTGAATTTTTTTCTCAAACAATTTATTTGGTCAAGTAATATTTGAATTTATTTGTCAAATAATCAAGCAATTTCAAATAATTCAAACATGTGTTATTTTTACAAAATGTCCCTGAAACGATAAAGCGAAACTCTCGTGTATTTTGATTTGAAGTATTTTTGCGTTTCTTCTCAAAAAATGATAGAATCAAATGAATAAAAACCAAAACTTATTACCAAAAAATAGTCGAAATACTGTAATTCCACCGATTTTTCATATAATTTTGGTTTTAAAAGCCCGGAAATTTTGCTTGAATTTGTTTGAAAATAGTCAAATATATTTGACCAAATAAATTATTTGAATTAAAAAAGCCAAATAAATTGGTCAAGCAATTTATTTGACTTTTACCCCAAATATCAAGAAATTCAAATAATCAAACAAATAATTTGCCCAGCCCTGAAGCACATTTTTCTTTCAGATATCATGACAAAAAGTGGACTTCCATTCAACCACGAAGACGACACGTGGATTGGAGCCGAGAGAAGGCCGCAGTGTCTCAAGCTTGGTAACAGTGATGTTCCTGGTTACGACTCAGACCGTACAAGTCCATGCTCCCGTGTTAATGTGTTCCAATGGGTGAATGAAGTCGCACCGAATCCGCCCATCTTTGAGGACAGCTGGCTGTATTGGGAAAAGCCAAATTATGCAGGCCAAGACGAACGGTGTGTGACTATAATCAAAGGAGCTACCAAATACTGGGGTGGCCTTGGAATCGTTGCCAAAAAATTGAACGATATTGGATGCTGGAACAAATTCTATTCCTTTTGTGGAGTAGAAGCGCCAATTGTCAAGGCTTAAATTCGATTTCTTCAAATGTGATTCGATTGAATAAAGATTTAATATAGTAATTCTTGGCTGCTGAGAGTCTGCAACACTTCCCAGTCTCAAAAACTTTGCTAGGAAAAAAGCAAAAATATTTTGCCCCGCTGGGGGTTGAACCCGGGTGGTGAAACTGGAAGTCAGAAGCGTTAACCACTAGGCCATGGTCCCCTTTCCCTCAAGGCGCGCAGCCTCCTCCCTTCGCTTGTTGCCTGCCGCGGTGTGGCCTTGTGGTTAACGCTCCTGACTTTCAATTTTGACCCCCTGATTCAATTCCCACTGGGGTAAAATCTTTTTTGCTTCTTCAGAGGACCTCCTGTTAGCCAAAATACCGATTTCAAGAGCTGCAGGAACTCCTACAGGACCTGCATGCATAATGATCAATTTGAAATTTACCTTCAAGGCGCAGCATGGGTCTCACCACGGAGAAATTCGTTACAGTGTGCATCGTTAAACCTAACTCTTCCCTCTGTTTTCATTCATCCAGTTCTATCTATATACATGACGTATTCCAAAGTTTCCGTCCTCTTTTTTTCTCTTTTTGGGGACCCTTCCCCTCCGTCCCGCCCGTTGTTTTTGTTCGGTTTCCTGGCGTCTCCCTAGGAAACATGGGCCATTTCCATGGCTCCCCGTGGTCCCTGCCCTCCCCCTCACAGAAAAATGTATACACATTCACTTTGAAAACAAAAAGTAGCATAACAGACTTATTCTCTTTGTTTTTCCTAAATTTTTTGATTTTTCAAAAAAAATTGAAAAATGGGATCCTCCCCATCGAAACGATCGGATCAAGTGGAGGAGATCAAAAAGGTAACTTTTGATTTTTTTTTCTCATTTGAGCGCACTTACAGTACCCCTAATATCCAATTTTTCCGCTTCAGGACAAACCGGAGCCTGTAGAAAAGTGGGCGGAGCATGTGGATCGGTCTAAACCGGAGGATATCAAGGAGGTGATTCCAAAGAAGGGTGGAGGAAAACACAATGCCAAAGTGGTCCCAAGCAATGATGTGGTGACGCCGAAAGGAGGGAAGTTGAAGTTGACGGAGGGAGTTGTTCAGGTATGTGCATGCGCCTTTAAAAGGACACCCCAAAACCCTAAGTTCCCATTTTCAGGACTACATAAACATCGAAAAAGCGATCAATCGTCTCGAACGGAAAAACGTTCTGAAGAAGTTTGAGTCTCAAACAATTTACGCGGACAACCTGAAGAATACGGTGGAGCAGCTGGAGGCGGTGTTGAAGGAGCTGAAGAAACAGACGTGGGTGACCTGAAAAATAAAAATAAAAACATTTTTGACCCCGGTGGGGGGTGAACTCATCCCCTCAAACTAGGCCATTACATTTTCTCAGGACTTCCATCGTTTTCTGAGATGATTTTCCCCAGAAAAGGGTCTACTTCACTTCCCGATCTCTAAAACCTTACTAGGAAAAAAGCAAAAAAGATTTGACCCCAATGGGGTTCGAACCCCCGACCTCAAAATTGAAAAACGGCAGCGTTAGCCACTAGGCCACGACACGACACAAGTGAGTGGAGGGGGAAGACCTAGATATGGCGGCGCCCGAGAGGAAAAGAAGGGAGAAGGCATATGGTCCCTCCTAATGGAAATAACAGTATATGCGTGGCCTAGTGGCTAACGCTCTTGCTTTGTAATCTGGAAGGGGTGGGTTCAACCCCCACTGGGGCCAAATATTTTTTGCTTTTTTCTGGGAGTCCATTAGCCTTAGAGGTTCAACTCTAACCCATTTTTTTCCAGAGAACGCGAGAAGACCGATCTAAAAAACATCGAACAACCATCAGTTCGCGATTTTCTCAAGCAACAAGGACAATGGGACGATCGTTACTCCAAGGAGAAGGCAGAGTACGAGGAAGCGTCAAGTCGTCAGGAAACTGTCCAAAAAGAGTTGAATATCGCGCGTGTTAACTATGATAACGCGGTCAAAATCCAGGAGATTTACAAGCAACAAACGGATAATTTGAATGCGTTGTATGAGGAGCAGGATAAGATGTTGGAGGCGATTTTTGGAACGGATTATGCATCGGAGAAGGAAAATGTGTTGGAGGGGGAGGTAAGTGCGCTCTAATGGAATTTTGAAAAAGTTCAAAGCTTATGAAAATTTTTCAGGTGGATGACATGGTAGATTGGCAGCAAAGGGTGTCCCTGGCAATGTTCAAATGGGCAAATGGACGGGTTCTGCTGGTTCATGCACTCACTCAATTGACATTTGGAATCAATCGATGGCAGGATGTGCAGAAGATTGAGAAGGAGTAAGTTTGCGCCTTTGAGGCTTGGGGCATGCAAACGCGCTCCAATAGAACTTTAATTTCCCTGGAGCGCGTTTGCAAACCCTTCATTTTCAGAAACGAACGCGGCCGGTACTTTGCTGCTGCGGAGGCTCGAAACAACTTTGTGGCAGCCGCCCAAAATGTTCAATCTTGTCGGATGTACCTGAACAAAGTCGATTTCCCATATGGTACCGAAAAAGAGATCGCACATATGGAGGATACGGTTAACAAGGCGTTCCGGACGGTGGATAACGACTCGGAGATGAAGAAAGTAGGTTGGGGGCGTTTGAGAGCGCAGACACCTAGACATTCTCAGTTCTCTGCGTCTCGCTACAGTTGCAAGAGTGTCCAGAAACCCAAATAGACCCCTAACTTAAAAATTGTTCCAGGCCCTCAAAGTATTCCAAGAAACCCAGCAAAAGGTGGCATCCTTGATCCAATGGTTCGACAAAGTGATCAACGACACAATCCGAAAAGATTTGGATCAGGCCAACAATGAATTGATCAAAAAACAGAAGGCGTTGAGGGAGGAGAGATTGACTCTTATGAAGAAATTGGTTAGTAGTCTTTGTAGGTCCTGTAGGTCTTTCTGCAGCTCTTACAAGGGACCTAATTTTCCTCAGCTCTTGGGAATTTTCTAAAAATTTGCGGGCGGGTACATTTTGGCCCCCTGAAGCCAAAAATCATAACGAGAAGTCCCACAAATCCCGAAAATCGGGGTAAATTTTCATTTTCCGTGTTTTTCAGTACAGTTTTTGAGGGAAATCTCAATAGAAGTACGGTAAACGATGTTCAAATTTTGTTTCGAATTAACTACATTAGTTTTCCACCAAGGCAAACAATTTCCGTCATTTTTTGGAAAAAAAAATTTTTCGGAAAATTTTTGCTTGATATGGCCCCCCCTGTTCATCCGAAAAAAATTGGAAAAAAGTGAATTTTTTCAGAATCTTTTCAAAATTTAATCACGTCATTCTGGCATATCTGAGATGTCGCAGTTCAAATTTCACGTGCCAGAAACCATTTTGAAGGGAGTTACAGCGATTTTTCCAAAAATTCGAAAAAATCCGGTTTTCGAAGAATTTTCAAAAACTTGATCTAATATTGACAGGAACTCGAAAATTTGAGTTTTTATGTTCATACAAGTTGAGAAAAGGTATGTAGACTAGAAATGACGTCAAATTTAGAGTTTCGAAAATTTTTTCCAGAATTTTTTGACCAAAAAAAAATAAAATTTTTATTTTCGAGTTGTGGGAGTTCTAAGTGAAATTTTCGTTCTCAGGGGGTCCAAATTAGTGTTTTGGCAAGTTTTCAGAAAATTCCCAAGAGCTGAGGAAAATTAGGTCCCTTGTTAGGATCGATATTTTCGCTTCTAGGGGGTCTTCAAAAAAAGAAAAAAAGATTTGACCTCAGTGGGGATTGAACCCGCGACCTCAAAATTGAAAGTCACGAGCGTTAACCACTAGGCTACCGCGCTGCAGATGCCAAGAGAAGAGAAGGAGGCGGCGGCGCGCTTCTAGAGGAGGTACCATGGCCTAGCGGTTAACGCTTCTGACTTCCGATTTTTACCTCCCGGGTTCAATTCCCATTGGGGTAAAATCTTTTTTGCTTTTTCCTAGGAGCTCCCGACTCTCAAGAATTCGATCCTAAACCCTTTTTAGGCCAAAGCGCAACTCGACGTGGACATGAAAATCGATTATGATGACGTGGCGGATGATGAGCTCGAGCGGGAGCTCAAAGAGCTCGAACGACAGGCTCTTCGGGATGTGGAGAAGCTCAAGGAGGCCGATGTTCAGGGGATTTTGGATCTGAGCAAGCAGGGCGGGAATGTGGTCACCCCGTTGAATAAACTGGCTCCACTACCTTCAAAAGATGCACTTTTTGGGGATGTCAAACAAAAATTGGATGAGTACGATGAGACGAGGAAACAGTTTGAGAGGAGAAACAATTTGCAAAGGGAGAAGCAGGCGATGGCGTTGCAGGTAAGAGAGACAACAGAGAAAGAGACAGTCTCCTTCTCTGATGTCTCTCACTCTGATTTTTTCCAGGAAAAACTGAAACTCCGTCAACAAAAAAATCGCCGAAACCGGAAAGAACGGAGGGACAGTATTGGAGCACCGCCAGTGGAGCCGACGCCGAAGGCTGGGAAGAAAAAGAGTTCTGCTCATCATTAATTCTCTTTTTGTGATTTTGGGTTTTTTTGTGAATGAAACTATAACCATCAAACCGATTTCTAAAATATCTGGGTTCACGCCTCAAAACCCATTTTTGAAATAAAATAAATTGGAAAATCAAATGAAGACGTGATGACCTTTCTGAATTTTCTATTTTCTATTGCACCGCAGATCTCCAACGCATTCTGGTCATGGCCAACTAAATGTGAGAATCGATTCCGAAAACTCTATTCACAACAGTCAAAAACCGCCCCACAACGTTTTCAATAAAATCCACGTGTCGGCAATCACGTTTAATTTTCCACGTCTCCATTCTTTTTCTGATTTATTAACAAAATTTGGAGGAAAATCGGATTTTTTCTGCCATCCAAGAAGAATGTTTTGTTACTGATTCATCGTTTGCTTGGATTGAATTTGAAAAAAACAAAACGAAGTTGAAATGCATTCTCAAAATATTCATTTTATAGGAAGAAGTTGGATTCACAGCACAAACGTTCCAAGTTGCAGAGTTGAAGCGAAGGGCACAAGGACTGGACATCCGGTTTTGCCTGTGAAGTTCACGTTTTCGAGTTGCACCAATGGTCCCTGAAAATTATTTCTTGCTTTTTCAAAAAAGAGGCCATTTACATTGAAAAAAAAACTCACTTGTAAGGTTTTATGGGCGACGTCCAGATCTGCCTGACTGTAGACGTTGATCCATACTTTAGTGAGACCAGGTGGGCAGCGGGCTGAGAGAATGCCTACGCATGTCTCACCTCCAACCAAGACGGCACTTCTAAATTAGAATTTTTTGAAATTAAGCTTACTCAAATGACAGTTTACAACTCAAAAAATCTCCCCATTTGAAGAAAAAATCTCCCCATCCCAAAAAATCTCCCCACTTCCCCATTTTTTATACTTTCAATCATACTTGTCCCAGGCCGGGCCCTGCCAGGCCCTGCTCGATGGGCCCGGATTCAAAAATTTGTTTTCCCGCCTTCTGCGTAAATTTCGATTGAAATAACTAAAGTTTTGAAAAAAAAATTTTCGAAAAAAGGTCAAATTTTCCAGCGCCAGGCCCCGGGCCCAATTTGGACAAGTATGCTTTCAATCACTTTTTTCAATGAAAATTCTCGGAAAGAGATATTAAAACTTATGTACATCAAAAAAAGAACTCACTATTAATGCCAGTTGAACTCGGTAGCAATCTCTTTGACTAAAGCAATTTTTGACGACTTTGAGCTTCTTGTCCGGATAGAGATAAGTCGCTTCCTCCACAGTCTGACGGTTCAAGATATTAGATTTGATGTACAAGAAAAAAAACTCACTGGAACTCGAGCACACTTCTTTATCTAAATCTTAGTGGTTGTAGACATTCATTCCGATCTTCACCATTCCGGTCGGGCAAATTGGAGTCGTTTCAAAGAGTGCCGGGAACCAATTGGCAATTCTAAATTAGGAATGTTTAAAATAAAATATACTTTTTATACAGTTTTTTTCTGATAAGAATCCTAAATTAAAAACTATTGAAAGAAAGTCTAGATAAACCAAACATGACTTACATGAAAAAATTGTTGCACTGACAGCAGGAAGCCAAAATAAGAAGAAAAAATATTTTTTGGAAGAATAAAAATTCAGAATAATCAATAAAATATGTAGACCAATCCAGCAGGAAGTCAGTTGAAAAGGTAATGTTAGAGAAATTTAGAATAATCAATAAAGCATGAAGACCAGTCAATCGGAGAGTCTGTTGAAAAAAGAATGGATATTCTTACGATTTCTCTTGCTTATATACACAATCTCCCGTCGTATTGAAGCCCGAGGAAACACATGTTTTCAAAGCCGACAGAAAAAAAAATGAATCATCATCTTTTTTTTTTGGCGGTACTACATGTTGGTTGATGGTGAATCAACATTTTTTTTCTCTTTTGTTTTCCTCATCTTCGCCGCCGAAATCGCCCCACCCTGGAACTTTTTTGTCCAAAGTTATATTTTTTCGAGATTTTCCAACTTTTCGCATCTCCAGTTTTGCCAGATTTGGAGATTATGATCCCAACTCACTGGGGTACACTAGAAACCGCTTTGGGGGTTCTGATGCAGTTTTCGGTGTTACGATCTGACCTCCCAGATATTTTGAGAAAAGTAGGATTCAAAAAATGTAAAAATTTTGGAGTACTGAAAAATTTTTTAGACATTTTTTTTACTCCCGAGATCTTTTTTCACTTTGGACATGGCATAAAAAACAATCGTGATTAAATATCATTTATGTTTCTTTAAATATAGTTACGTTAAACATATTGGAGTGTAGATCCGAATACGAATTTCAGACAGTCGTTTCCTTCGAATTTGATGCGTTCTTCGATTTGAATTCCGAAGTGAAAATTAGTTATTTTCAATGATCTCTTTTTTTTCAAACTTTTTGTTGTTGTTCATAAAAAGGGATTTAAATTCATGTACATTGAAAAAAAACTCACAAGAAAGGTCGCAAATTCATTGTCAAAATCCTTTTGATTGAACACATTTATGCCTAGTTTCACCATTTCATCAGGGCAACAGGGATACATTTTCCCATCACAGAGAGATCCCGGTACTAACTCGCAGTCCTAAATTAGAGATTTTTGAAATGAAACCTAGGAAAAGCAAAAGATGACTTACATGATGGAGTACATCGGTGGGACTGGCTAGAGAACGAGAAAAAAATTAGTGTTTGAGACACTTCACAGTATCAAACCAGAAATTATCAAAATAAAATCTCGGCAAATCAAAAGATGATTTACGTGATAGGTTTTTTTGGGTGGGACTGCACGTCGCGAGACATAGAATACAAAGAAGATAATTCTCATTTTAGAGAGAATGAAAATTAGCAAGAAAAAAATATAGAAAAAGTT